TGCGATCCCATAAATTTGTACGCAGTATAAAATTTGTTATACACAAAATGTATGTTTCATATATGTTAGACATAGAAGAAACAGAAGCTAAGTAAGAGGTGTCAATAATTAACATAGTTTAATAATCATGCCATAAGTATTAAAACTAAAAGATAAATTATACCATCCATACAAGTAATTAAGAATTCGTGAAGTGCAATGGGTTCATTAATATGGGTTCATCCTGGTTTTTAATTTTTTAAATTGTTGATTTTATTTTTTCATATTAATTGTGTGAATTCTTATAGCACGACTAAAACGTACAAATAATTTGTAACGTAACGGTGAATTTCAGTTTTAGTAGATATACGGCAGCTCGTAGGACAACAAACTCACGCCACTTTGAACTCGATTGTTAACACTTAACAATCTACTGATGATATCTTTTCGGAAGCGATCACGTGAGTGTGGTATAAGCATTCTCTACTGCTGATGTTTAAAATTAACTACACCGTTTAAAATGCATAAACGCATGAGTTTAAAAACTTCAAATAAATTGTTCCTCTACAAATGCGTCCAAATACAATGCACAAGATAAGACATGTTAAGAGAAATTGTGGCTAACAATGTTTGGAATACATGTAAAGCTTTCCTATGCAGTAACCTGTTTACAATGTCAGTAAACATCTTTAGAGACGTAGAAGTAATCTACAACATCCACAAATTCAACTTTAAAATTTTTAAACATTATTAAACTTTTAAATTTTCTATACTCTATCTAACTGGAAATTAAAATTTATAGATCCATATATTTCTTTATCAAACACAGGCAATGAAGAAAAATAAAATCCATTTTCTATTATTATATTTTCTCAGATACAGCTATAGCTGACAAGACATTGACCATAAGCCTTTGCTCCCTGACTATTTGATTTCCGCTATTTGAATTTCAAGATAAAATATTTAATTGAAGGATATAACTTTTTTAGATTCTTTTGTTAAGGTAAATATTGATGCAATAAACTGGAACAGAATAAACGATGTCGACTGAGAGATCTCATTTAAGTCGTATTTGGAGTCCCTCCGTTACATATGCGAATCTTTTTATTATTACTATTACATACAAGGATTACTAAAAAAAATTTTTCCATTGCCTGCCGTAAGCGCTTGTCATGTTTGTGCAAATGTTTTCGCTACCTTTCTTTTAATTAAAAAAAATTTTCGTTTTAATTAACGTGAATAATGGCTGTTGTATACTTGGGTAGCAGAATTTATTAAGCAACACGATCTTCATAAATTCAAGTGTTTCTGCGGTTGCAACGCTGTTTATATTATTGTATAAAAAAAAACTTGCATATGTAAAGTTAGTAAAAATTACGCACAAAAAAGTTTTTGTTATTAAAAATTATACGATATATATATACATACATACCGTTTTTGTTTTTTCGATATTTGGCATCTGTTTATGAAACTTTTTTTTATTATATTTATGAAATGCTATCTTTGTTTAGTCTAGAATGTAAATAATAAAGAAAAATGCTTTATATGGAATTCTATTGTTTTGCATTTTGGAGAGGAATTTTTTTCCTATGAAAAATGCCTTCCATTAAATTTGACTGGATATGCTTACGAAATGAATGTTTATTTCTCAACTGTTTACACGTCTCGTTGAATGTTTAGAAATGATATAAAGTTGAAACAAAAATCTCCAAAAAATCATTGGAAAAACAAATTTTAGAGGTATTATTTATTTACAGAATCCAATGAACGCATTGTGTTATTCGCGTGTACTAAAATTTTCCAGTGGATATAACTTTGAATTTCTTCTGTTTAGAAAAAAGTAATTAACGAAACGTATTAAAATTTGTAACGGAATATTTTTTTTGAGAAAAAAAATGTCTTTAATGTCTACAAAGTGTTGGTTGCCTTGCTTTACTTAAAATATCTAATATTTCGCTATATCGCTGATTTCATTTTTCCTTGAACGTTGTGTTACTTGCGTGCACATGTTAAAAACCTTATGAAGGCATAAATAATATCTATACAATCTTTAATTTGCTTGCACTTTCTAAATTTACACGGAATTAACCACAATAGCCATGTTATAACGTTGTTTATTTTTTATTAAAATATGTGTTTTTGTTTTCATCTTTTACCTCAAAATTTTACTTTGTAATTGTTAGAAATTCGGGACCATGTTGAATAATAATATTGTTCAAATATGCTTCAATTTGTACATTTCATCACTTTTCCAGCCGATTTTTTTTGGTATAGTCATTGTTTAAAATGCTGAAATTCATGCGAGTAATAACAATGCAAACATTGTTATGTATAGTTTAGGATTTCGTCAGAAAATGTAATGAAATAAATTTATTTCGCTAGTTAGAACTGCTTCATAAATATTTTTTATTAAACATTAAAATTGTATTTTGCAGACACTTAATTATAACAAGCATTCATTTGATCGGAAAGAAAAACAATACTGTAATAATTTAGTCAGCTTTATCAAATAAAAAAAATTACCTCAAAATCTTACTTTAATATTTGTGCCAAAAAAAAAAATCAGGATAATATGATATCCTCTTAAAGACCAATCCCAACATTTATGAACATACAGAATTCTAATGCATGTAACTCACTTTAAAAAAAAACTATCAGTTTCGGTATTTGTGTTAAAATAACTCATGGTATCATTTACACTTACTTCTGTTCTTATTAACTTTCAGAAATTTAAAATATTACAAAGATTTAAAATTGGCTGTTACCGACATAATATTGGGTTATGTCCGTAGCACCAAGTTTTTTTTCTTTTTTTAAAAAAACATAACTTATTAAAGTTACCAGAATTCGGAGCAGGCGTAAATGATACCAAGAATTATGTGAACAAAAATTATTAAAACTGCTTGATTGTTTTCCACCGCGTTATATGGATTTAAAGTCTGTATATATATGATTTTCGTAAATGATGGAATTGCTAAAAAGTACACATTATACGAAATTACTTCAAATGCCATTAATTTAATATTCGAAAACAATTTGACTGTCTTCTGTGTTAATGTTACACTTAAATCTGAGGAAATGCGAAGGGGTGGGAGTTTTTGATACGATTTCAAAACTTAATAACGAATATCACACTGAAAGACAATATAACTTTCATTTATTTTCTTATTTTTAAAAAAAGTTTTAAAAGCACTCGCATTATAAAGCAGTTTTTAGAGACAAACAAAAACAATTTGAGTTGTCGCAGCTGCTGAAATTTAGGGTTGGGGCAAAGAAGAGAGGAAAAATTAATCCAAGAATAGCGAAAACAAGTGAAAATAATGCGTAGACCTTGAAACCTGTGAATGTCGACAATGATGTGAATACTCACGTGAAGATTTTCGAAACTTTCAAAACTATTTTTTTAGTTTATTTTTAATGACCACACTCTGTGGTAATAGAATGAACTTACATTCCAGGAACCAATACAAGCATGAAATTAACTTTTGGTGAGAAGAACTAAGTTCAAGATATTAATATTGCACTTAAATATTAGATAAAGAAATAAGAAACCTGCAATTTAGTACATGAGAACAATTTATTTTCAAAAAATTAGGTTATTGTAACAGACAGTTTGTGAGAAATTTTTGTTGTTGTTTGTAATTGATATTTCTTAAGAGAACATGTATAAATGTTTGAACTGTGTGTATAATCTTAATTCTTGCCTTTTAGCAGCAATCGCTGTTTTTGAATGCAGATCTGAAACCAATGTTAGCTATTTTGATCCGTTTCTCTCAGCAATTAATGAATATTTTTTTAAGAGAAATTTATACTAAATGTAATTTTTAACACGAACTGGAAAGTTTGAATGCGATCGATAGTTGGAATATTTTTTTTATATTATTTAATTTAGTTGATATTTGTATTAAATTAAGCTAAAAATCTATATAATCTTTAAAAATCATTGAAATTCATAAGGAATTATTAGATTGCTATGGAAACGATATAACAGAAGCCGTAACTGTAGTAGGTGTTCTGTAAAATATTATAAATACATAATAAAATTTTATGCAGAAAAAAACTAAATAGTTAAATTTCAAAATCTCTGGAATTTTTTTTTAAAAGAAATATTAACTGACAAAATTAATAATGGATTGTTCTAAAAATCGTGATAATGAATTGTTTTAAAAATTGTGTATAGAATAGGTAAAATATTACAAGTTCAATAAAAAAATGAGTAGCTCCCTTCATACAAAGTTGAAACACATTTTAAAAAATGGTTGCTAGCACAAAATGCCGCCTTTACAATTAAATTTCTTAAAATAATTGCCTTGAAATAAATGCTGATAGTGACAGTTTTTTTCTTCTTCATGTTATTTGTTTATAGTGTAAATACTAAATGAAGACTATGTTGTAAAACTAAAAATTGTTGTAATTCAAGTTGTAAAGTTCAAACTTTCCTTTAGATTTAATAACTTCAATTTGTTTCCTTTAATAAATTAATTTTGCACTTTTTAAATTTATTTTTGCAATCCAAAGAAATGAAGATAAGAGTAGGAAGTTCTATGATACTAGAAAATGGAAGGTATTTTTTTTTATAAAACATTCTTTGCTGGAAGATTGCCTTAACATAAGTGTGACAAACAGAATTAGAGCCCTTAAAAAAACCCAACTAAGATGGTGATATTTCCTGTTATTTTTTTTTTTTTTATTAGTTTTTATGTAATCCAATGCTGGCAAATAAATTGTTGTAACTATTTTGGCTGAACCGTTTTAAATATTCATAGCCAACGAAAATAGGAATGATAATGGTAGCTTCTCAAGTGATTTATAATAAATATTGAAAAAGTATATCAAGAGATATGATCAATTGATACTATAAATACATATAAAATCGCAATGTCACAGAACTTAATGTATGCACGAAAATGCTTAACTCATACATTTCCTTTCAGAAAAAGAATTGTACATTTTTATTTCTATTTTAAGCATGTTATGTGCCGATAAAATCAAGTGATTGCCATTTTTTTTTCTAATTTCAGAAAACAGGTGTCGTCTTAGTACATCTGCAAAATTTTCTTCTCAGTTTGTGAAATCTCTTGAAAGAAAATGCAAGACAAAGAAACGGTGGACGAAGCTGAGGAGGCCTTAACAACCAAAGGCGATTCCATCAGCAAAACCCCCGACAAAAAAGAAACAGACGCAAGTAAAAAAGAGTCAGCGAAGGATGGAAAATTTGCCTTCAAAAAGATGAAGCAACCAAAGAAGGGTAATATTTCCTTTAATGCATACTTTTAGAAACTTAGTCAAAAAATAGAATCAAAAACTTGTTTGGAGTAAGCAGTTTGGAATGAAAGAAAACTATTAGAGACACTTCCACGTTTATAACCTAGTTTAGATGTTTTACATCCCGCCTTCTTCACTAATAATTCTACAAATTATGTAGTTTATTCTTTGTTTTCTGTGTGACCTCTAATTTGTCAAATTCTTTACTTTGTTTTTGAAAAGAATTCTAAATATATCAATGTCAGCGGTTCAGTGACATTTTACGAATTTATAATTTTAATCCAATTAATTAAGCCATTTATTAATTAATTGCAATATATATATATATATATATATATATATAGTTTTCATCATAGAAAAAAAATGGGTGAGAATTTCTCACCCTTTCTCAAAAACAGGGTGAGATTTCAGAAAGTTAAGTGAGATTTCCAAAAACTTAAAAAACACAAATAGACTTGGAAAAAAAATCATTTCTTTTATTATAATACATTTTTAACGTCTTCTATTTTTTAAAGCATTGAATATTCTTGCTTCATTATCATAGAAGATTTTGCCTTTACTAGGTATTTGTCCCTCTTACATTAGTGCATAAAAAATTTGAACGTCTTACATGAAAAAACTTTACCTATGGTAAACACGTGGTTGCAGAGAAATGTGTTCTGAAAGGGGTTCCGTGGTTCGGTTGTGTTCTGTTGTTCGAAAAGGTTCTGAACAATACTGGTAAATAGGGA